TTCCCATTCTTTTGTAGTTGAAACTTCTGTGTACTGAACCACAGGTTTTCTAGACTTCTAAATGTAGCCTTTCATTGCATATTTCAGTGATCAGAACAGATGACCCCCCCCCACACACACACACACACAACAGACACATTCAGTTTACAAGTTTCTTGCTTAACTACACAGGTATGCTATGATGCAATCATGTTTCAAAGTTGCTTGGCCCAGGGTGCTTATGTATGTTACAGGAGTGGGATGGTAAGTATGTTTCAAGTGGCACCCTTTTGTAAGGACCTCAGACTTTTAATTAACTGTTATAAAATCGGTTTGCATCCATTGTCCAAGACTATTTTGGAGAGGTCTTTGCCAAAAGTATCTTAGTGGTTTCCCCCTTTTAAAGCAAATTGTGATCACAAGTGCCAATGTCTCTCAGATATTTGATCTTTTCATTTCAACATGGCCATATACTGTATGAATACATTAATCTAAGTATAGAGAATATTTTTAATGCCTCTATTCCAGCGAATAGTGCAAGTATCAGAGAAAAAGATCATTTTTTAAAAATGTTAATTCTAAAACCTTCTAAGAAGACAGGAAATATCATGGCCTTAATCACTCACCCAGACGATATGCATATTGTACTTTAGTTCCACACTACTTTATTAATAAAACACCTTTTTAAATTACATTATCATATCATATTTGATGTATTCAAGCCTGTGCTCTTTGGTAAAATCAGCACATAATGAAGACATGGCTTTGATTACTGAGATTGAAACTCGACATGATGCTTTAAAATAAATTCTGTACTTTTAGGAAATATAAGTTATGTGTTCCTGGGGATTCTAAAGAGTTTACTAGTAATTTTAGATGTGTACTGAACGTTGTTTTCAGAGAGTCGGGAAGGATAAAGGAGATAACAAATAAAACAATTTAAATGGAATTTCTAAATTTTCTGTTTAGGGTCCTGAATTTTGCAATATACACTGAAGTCAAAGAAATATTCCATTGTTTTGTGTACAAAAATATGCTCTGGAGAACTCTAGAGAAAACAGGGTGCTTTGTAATAGATTCTGGAAAAATGTGTAAAAAATTGGTCAATATTTTTTCCTGAGCTTTATTAAATGCTGATGATGCTACTTGCAATAATCTATGTGGACATTTTTACTTTTATTTTAGTATCCAATAAGTCAACACTGTCAAAAACAGTCTTCAAAAATAGATGACCTTTTTTAGAAGTTTATGTCTACTAGAATATACCTTACAATTAACATATATGTATATTTAAAGTAAAAGGTTGAATTGAGTCTTCCTAAATGGACATTATTTCATTTTGTCAGCTGAGTACTATATGTTTGGTAGATACAATAAAATGAAGTGAAATTCTGAATATTAAGGTGAGTTTTATAAAGAATTTTCACAGAATTTGCTGCAAAATATAACTGCTGCTACTTGTATTACTTTTGGCATCTTTCTGTTTGTAGCTCAGGCCTGCTAATACTTTTTTTTAAAGATTTTATTTTTAGAGAAAGAGGAAGCGAGGGAGAAAGAGAGGGAGAGAAACATCAGTGTGTGGTTGCCTCTCGTGCGCCCCCCACCGGGGACCTGGCCTGCAACCCAGGCATGTGCCCTGACTGGGAATCGAACCAGCAACCCTTTGGTTCGCAAGCTGGCACTCAATCCACTGATCCACACCAGCCAGGACTGAGACCTGCTAATACTTTATTTTCCTTTTTTTGAGGTTAATTGCCCTTAAATAACATGACCTTTAGGCAGATTTGCATTTTCACCAAACAATGCAAATTGGTTGTTGACTGTATTGTTAAGTGCCAACACTCCTCTGGGAATCTGAGTGTACAGGGGAAACAGAATTTTGAAACAGATCGTTACTTACTTACTTGGAAAGTCTAAATACAGTGAATTTTGTGGAGACAGGTTTCACTACATATATTCCAGTAATTCAGCAAAAGAAACAAGAAAGGTTCACATGGATTTTATTACTCAGCTGCGGATGTTGAAAATATAGAAAGATTGGCATTGATGTTTCTTCTGAGTAAAATAAATTGGTATTTTTTTTTATTCCACTGTAACTTCACATTTGAACCTTCACATTTTTAAAATTTGAACCTTCTAATTTTCCACCTCCAACTTCTCTACCTCATCTTTTAATATGATCAGCTGTCTCCTTTTATTAGGCAAACAAAAATTTGGATTTCTACCAAAATAGTAACCATACTGTTTATACAAAGTTTATTTTAATGTAATTTCCTTTTTAACACCTTCATTGAACTATAATTCACATACCTTAAAATTTACCCATTTAAAGTGTACAAATGAAGACTTTTAGTATATTGTGAGTTGTGCAACTATCACAATTTAAGTTTAGAAGATTTCATCACCCCAAAAATAAACTTTGTATTAATTAGCAGTTATTCCCCATCCCCTCCTCCCTAAGCCCTATGCAATCACCAGCCAGGGCAAGAACTTTTAATAATGAGGAAACATAACAACTCAATAAAAAATTGGACACAAACTTGAGCAGGTATTTCCCACACACAAAAGAAATGTGAGTGGCCAATGAAAAGATGCTCTGCATCATTAGTCATTAGAAAAATGCACACCTATTCAAATCTTTACAATCAAAAGGCCGACTATGCCATATCATACGTGGAGGATCTGAAACTGTCCTACAACCGCTGTTGGGAATGTAAAATGGTACAACCATTTTGGGGAACTGTTTGGCAGATTCTTAAAAAGCTAGACATCCCTGGCTGGTGTGGCTTGATGGATTGAGTGCCATCCTGTGAACGAAAGGGTCACCAGTTTGATTCCCAGTCAGGGCACTTGCCTGGGATGCAGGCCAGGTCCCCAGTAGGGGGCATGCGGGAAGCAACCACACACTGATGTTTCTCTCCCTCTGTTTCTCCTTCCTTTCTCCCCTCTCTAAAAATAATTACATAAAATCTTTCAAAAAAATTAAAAAATAAATGGAACTACATCAAACTAAAAAGTTTCTGCATAGCAAAAGAAACCATCAACAAAGTGAAAAGATAGCCCATTGAATGAAAGGACATATTTCCTGATAGATCTGATAAGGGTTTAATATCAACATTTATAAATAACTCATAAAACACCACCATAAAAACAAACCCAATTAAAAAATGGCCAAAGGACCTGAATAGACACTCCTCCAAAGAGGACATACAAATGCCCTATAGACCTAAGGAAAGATACTCAATGTCACTAATTATCAGAGAGATGCAAATTAAAACCATAATGAGTCACAATGGTTACCATCAATCAATCAAACAACAAGTGCTGGCAAAGATGTGGAGAAAAGGGAACCTCTGTGCACTGTTGGTGGGATTGCAGACTGGTGCAGCTGCAGTGGAAGACAGTATGGAGTCTCCTCAAAAAATTAAAAGTAGAATTGTCTTTTGACCCAGCAATCCTACTTCTGGGAATATATCCTAAACATCCTGAAACACTAATTTGAAGGAATAATAAGCACCCCTATGTTCATAGCAGTGTTATTTACAATAGCCAAGATCTGGAAACAACCCAAGGCTCCAATAGCAGAGAATGGATAAAAAGCTGTAGTACATTTACCCAATGGAATACTATACAGCCATAAAAAGGAAATCTTACTTTTTCTGACAGTATGGATGGACCTACAGATTATTACATTAAGTGAAATAAGCCAGTCAGAGAAAGACGGATACTGTATGTGGAATCTAATGAGCAAGATATACTAATGAACAAAATAGAAATAGAAGAAGTATGAAGTTTAGATTTTTAACACTTCTCAGAAATAAGTGTGTCATCTGGAGGTGTTCATTTAAAGTTTAAATATCTTTGCCCCAATTTTAGAGTTCTGAGGCAGGGCTCAGGAATCTACATATTTATTATGTTCTCCAGATGATTCTGAGAGAGGTTTTTTCTTACACCACATTGTGAGAAACTTTATGCTGCTGGCTACATACACTTAAATGTGTGTTTTAGAAAGATCCCTTTAATGCTATTGTTCCCAAGTATAGTTGTATATAGAATCATTAAAGACGGGATCCAGAAATGTATTTTTACAGTTCCTCAGATGATTCCATGGTTCAGTCAAGAATGAAAAGTTCTGATTTAGCAGCAGTGAAGGGGGCAGATATTAAAATAGTAAAACTGGAAATAGGAAGTTATTACAAAAGTACAGGCAAAAATGGCGAGGACACGAGCAAAGGCAATAGCTGGAAGCTGCAGAGGGTGGGGTAACTGGGATATTAAAACTAGGAATTGGTGACTGATTGCATATGGCTGTGAGGGAGTGGGTAATATTAAAGATAATGCCCAGGTTTCTGAGTCGGGGTTTGATTTAATGGAGTTGCCATTTGATAAGATAGGAACCACAGGAGTAAAAACAGGTTTGGAAGAAGACTACCATTTTATAGCAGAGCTGGAGGTCCAGGGAGATGCGACCTAAAATTGCTATTCTTTACTACTGGTTTCCAGACGGAAATGTACAAAAAGATCACCGAGGGAGTTTGTTGAAAACACAGATTTCTATTATCCTTCATTTCCATTTAGGAGGGCTTGGAATGGGGTCCAGTTATTTGCTTCTTTCTTTTTTAAAAGCCCCAGTACAGATTGTAAGCCTTTGTCAAACATGGTAAGAAACATTTGAAAAAATAAAGCTGAAAGTAAATGGAAAATTGCACTAAAAGTCAATTTCTTGCCTATAAATTGACAACTACTAGTGACTTAAGGATGGATAACAAACAATGTTTTTCTTTTCACACAGCTGTATAAAATGTTCACAGTATAATAAATAAGTGATTTTAATGCATGATTGAAATGCCAAAGCCCGTCTACAGCCAAACCACCCTGAACGCACCCAATCTGGTCTGAAATGGTAAAGCCCTACCTCTTAACGAATACAACTTAATCTAGGTAGCAGTTAATTTTAATGAAAGCCTTTTATTGTTATAATGAAAAGTAACAGATGTACATAGAAATATATACAGATCCGTGTCAGTAAAGATCTTTTGTGTCATTACTGCCCATTTACTCCAGCTTCAGGAACTTGAGAATCTCTTTGTTTTCCTTTGCCTTGTGAAACATTTCAAAATCCTAAAAGGAATCAAAATTAATTTGTAATATCAATGCTAAAAATTCTCATTTATGAACTCATTAAACTCAAGTGTCTAGGTAAGTTTCCTAATTATCTTGCCTGGCCTTTGCTAGCTTCTGCCAGCTATGTTAGTTAGAAAAAAAAATTTTCCCCCAGAGTATCAGAAGTTCATATGATAACAGACGATGAAAAGTACGGTATAAGCTCTCCAGAACAAGGAGCATGACATAGCTTCTTTCATGAGTCTTTTTGCACTAAAATACAAATTGCTTTGTCTTCAGGCTTCTATTCTGAATGGAGAAACCTGACCATCACACTTCATAAATGTATTATTGCCCCACGTACAATATGTGACCTTAAGATGTAACATAAAAATAAAATAAAAATTAACATTTACACTTACTCCACAATATTCTTGGTCATTGAATATCTGAGGTGGTAGAGCCTTAGGGCTGGAAACCTTCCTCCTCATTTGTTGAAGTTTTTTCAAACTGATAGAAATATCTATTAATTCGTAATTTATTTTGTAAGCATCTAAAATTCTGATAACGTCTTCCTGTCTCTGCTTCACCTAGGTAAAGATGTAAAGTGATAGAAAGATGTTAATCAACTGATCCCAAGGTGTTATGTTTACTTTTTATTTTCCCTGTCCATTATGCCATGGAAGAAAAAAGCTTTTAATGACATGAGACTTCTTTGAGGAACAAAAGTTATATATAAATATATATATATATCACATACATAGAGTGTATATAACATATAAATATGTTTAATGTGTGTACAAATGATTTTAGCAAGGTGTCAGTGGAGACTGAAAATCTCTAGTGGGTTATAAATGTTTGCCAGAAACCTCTGCCTGTATTTCAGAGCTCAGAAATTTCTGAAATTCCGAACTGAAACATTTCCACTTTCTGAGTCACATTAGTTTTTAAAATTGCAAAAGCATGGTGCCTATGACTTACGTCAAACTTTTGTAGTGGCTTTTCAAAACCTTTTCAGAGGAACCCATTAAGAAGAGTTCTTTAGATCAGTGCTAGTTTGACTGTGGTTCGTAAGACCAGTAGCATCAGCCTTGCCCCACTCCAAAACCACAGCATTAGATTCTCTAGGAGTGACTTCTAGGAAAGTTTTAACAAGTCCTGCAGATGATTTTTACATTACTGTTTCAGGGACAGACCAACAGGAGGGTAACTCTTCTGCTACATCCACTGTGGTCTCCACTGGTTCAAATTAATTCCCTCTTACAGACTCTTAGTATCATGTTCAATAACATAAATCACAACATTCCAAAAAAGGAGTCAAATTGTCTCTAGTTTTCCTTTTCAGACTGCTGCTTGCTATTTCATAGTACTCAGGCAAAACCCCTAATCTTTCTGACAAGGCTTTATGCAAAAGCAATGCATTCTTTCTAGGCTTAGATCAATTCTGATTCCTCCACGTTCTATCATAGTATGTGACACAACAGGAATGTGATGTTTATCAATCATTTACAATCAATTCCAAATCCTTCAATTTCATGCTTCTCCAAACACTTTGCCTAATGAGGTCCTTCACCATATAATGTCCTTCTATAACTGAGTTGTTTAATGTGTTAACCACTAATCACATATAACTACTGATCACTTGAAGGATGGCTAATCCAAAATACGATATACTGTAAGTGCAAAGTACATACTGGAATTTAAGGACTTGATGTGAAAAAATGATAGATAACATCTACATTTTTAGAATGCTTATATGCTGCAGCGAAAACATTTTTGTATGTTTTGTGTTAAATAAAATATCTTAAATTAATTTCATCTCCCTTTTAAGTGGCTACTAGAAAATTTTAAGTGGCATACGTGGCTGGCAATATATTGATTTTGGAAAGCACTGTTCTACAATATTCCTATATTCTGGTCACAAGGGTTCATCTAAGCTCAGTAAAGAAATGGAATACTACTCAGGCACAAGAAAAGATGAAATACTGCCATTTGTGACATGGATCAGTCTTGGGAATATCATGCTAAGAGAATAAGTCAGTCAGAAATAGCTAAGAACCATATGATTTCATTCACATTTGCAATAGAAAACTGAAACGGGCCACAGGCAACAGTATGGTGGTTGGGGGAGGGGAAGGGGTGGGGGTAGTAAAGGTTACAAAGAGCCAAATATATGGTGATAGAAGATGATTTGACTTTGGGTGATGGGCACACAGGGCAATATACAGACCATGTGTCATAGAAATGTACACTTGGAACTTATATGACCTTATTAACCAATGTCACCCCAATACATTCAACAAACCTTTTTAAATTAAAAAATAAATATGTGCTCTATGCAAATACACCTTCTTAAAAATTAACAACCAGTTTACCTTTGGGGGGTTACCCAGTCTTCTGAAGGTTTTGGTCATTTTTTTCTCTCCCATACCAAGCAGGGATCTTTATCTTTTTCATCTCCCATCCTAAATAGAGTCCTTTATCACTTCCATTGGAAACATCCACAAAATTGGAAGCCATTCATTTGGTTGAGTTTGGGACACAGGAACCTCCAAAATCTACCAGGCCCCAGAGCCCAACCTGTGTGCATTAACCATATTGTCTGGGGCCCTGCCCGCCCCCGCACGTCCCACCCCAGAAAACCTAGAGAGGACAAAGCTGAAGAATGAAAGGCAGGAAGAGAATGGGAATATGTTAGCACAATCCCTAAATCCCCAGTTAGAATATCTTCACCCTAAATTTTTTTCCCCCGCCGGCTGAGACTCTTTTCTTTCCACTCACCTCCCTAGACCCTGATACGCTGGAATAATAGACTTTAATGGAGCTCATTGTTTCCACTCTGAGGCTACTTTGAAGAAGTAAAGCGCTGTAAGCCTCTCCAAGGTTTCACACGGCTCGGGAACGTTCTGCGAAGTCTTGAGCCTGCCCTTCCCCAGGGCCGTTGCTAAGGGCCAGCGGCCACTGCGCTCAGGATTGGCTGGGAATCTAGGGCCTTTCTGGCGCAGGTGAGAGCCCATTCCGGAAATACCGGGGCCTCTTGGCAAGTAATCAGTAACCTCCACCGGCCTGGGGGTGGGGGGAAGGGGCTGAATTCCCACGGGTCATAAACACCAGTTAACCCCTCTTTGCTCTCTTCTGCGAGGCCCAGGGCAGGAGGGACGGGAAGAGCAAATGGCCTCTACAGTACTGCTGCCCATTTTCGCATCTCCCTGCAACCGCAGCTGGAAATGAAGGGCCGAGACCCCCTGAGGGAGAAAATGGCCAAAATACAATGTCACGATTGAACAGAAAGAGATGAATTAACGCTTGCGTTGCGCAGGTTTCTAGGGACAGAACAAATGGTGCCAATGTTGACTTGGATGGGACTGGACCAGCACAGCAACCTTTGTTACTTTTCCTCTTAGTCCGGAGAGGTGCCTCCTTGCCTTCTCTAGTACTCCTGCCTTTTTGAGGACTGAGGTTGCAGAGCACCCTTTCCTTCTGGGAGTTGACCTTTTGGTTTTCGCAATTGTCAGTGCAATAGTTCCTGACTCGCATAGCACTTCCTCTGTTCCCTGTGTAAGATGATGACTTTGCACTGTAATGTCAGCTTCCTCTTGAGTACATTCATAGCTCATTATTCCACCTTTTATTTCTCGCTTTTAACCTTTTGCAGCAGTTGAATACAGCGATAACATGTATAGGATCCTAGAGGTTTGCCAAAAATGGGCAATAGGAATTAAGAGGGAAGGTCAAAGAACCATAACACCAGCTTTTGTGTTAGGTAAATTTGGATTCCATGGCTCTACAACTTGCTAGTTATGGATCGTGGGCAAATTATATAAAGGTCAGTTTCTCTATTGATGCCTATCAGATAGCATCACCATAAGTAAGATTAAATAAATTCAGTATGTAAAAGTGTTAGGCACATGGTCTGACATGTACAAGTAATTTAGAGAATGATAATTATAGTTCATGATAATAAGTGCCAGCTTCTATTCTGCTTGGGAACAAGCACATCAATATGAGTAAAAAAAAAAAAAAGCATTTACCTTCAAGGAACTCGCAAAGTGATAACCAATAAGATAAGGTAAATGAAATGTTAGAAAAATCTTATCCAGACTAGGTGCTTAAGAACTGAGAGCAAACTAGAAACCTGAAGAATGTATAGTCTGCCAAGAAATAATAAGAATAAAGGACTTTTAGGTAGAAAGAACAGTCAGGAAGTAACATGGTAATTGGAGCTTTGGGAGCAAGTGTAGGAATAAAAGCTGAAAAAGTAAACAGGGAAAAGAACACAGACGTTCAGGATTCCTGTTAGATTTTTATTTTTTGTCTTTTTGAGGCTGTTTCCTGTTTTGCAAAAATGTGCAAAATCATAACTTGCAGATTTACTGTTAGGGCTACATAAGTGCAGATGTTACCTAAGACCACCTTTGACTTATATGATGCTCAAGAAATTATTATTATTGTTAATCAAGGGGTAATTAGAAGTTATTGAAATATTTAGCAGGTTTGGGTGAAAGGTGGATCTAACACATCTAGTGTATTTGAAAAGGGGCAATATTGGAAGCGTCTGCAGCAATCCAAGAACAAAATAACTAGAGAAAGGCAGAGATCATTAGGACAGGGGACTGCTAGGATTTGGATAAGCTGGATACAGGGGTGATTGAGGCAAAGGAGACAGGCTATGATTAATGAAGGAGTTCGGTTAGAAACAACTTGAGATCTCCATTTTCTTTTAGTATTTCTTTGTGGTGACAGTGGTAGAAAACTTGTTTTTTTACAATGGTTTTTATTATCTTTCTGGCAACCTGTGTGGGATTGAGATATTATTTCCTTGTTTTGCTGTGAGCCACTTCTTTGAATTCGAGCTAAATTAATACACTATTTCTTACAAGGGGATATCTTTGACAAACTAAAATAAATTGATTGGTATGGCATACAGAATTATAATAAACCTATTGTATGGGATGTTTGTGATAATTACTTTGGAATGATTATTTGTAAAATAAAAGCTGTACTGATAATTAGCCAAAAGTATCAACTATGTAGAAATTTTCTTCAGTCTAGTTTGGCAATTTGGATCTTGGTTTGAAATTATTCTAACAAATGTGGCAAACACTTGTGAGACTGGAAAAATAATTTATAAAGAAGGCTGTATAATTTTTCTCGTCCTTTTGTGTATATGAATTATTTATTTTTCAATTGTGTAAAGAATGCATGAATATATGTTCCTTGTAGAAGTATTCAAACTGTATAGAAATATAGGAAGTAAAAAGTAAAATTTCCCCTTTACCTTCTACCTGCCACCCTCCTCCCAAAGGAAACCACTATGAACAGTTTGACTTACATCCTTTTTCACAAACATCATTACATATATTCAGCTAATTAAAAGGGAGGAAAAGTCAGTTATAGCAGAGAAGTTAAGCACACAGACTTTTAAGCAAAGCTGCCTGGATTCAAACACAGACTCTATACCACTTAGGACTGTGCGATATTGGGTATCTAATATCTAACTTCTCTGCACCCCAGCTTCTTCACTGGTAAAATGAAAATTAGATTATCTGTTTCATAGAGATGTAATGAAGATGAAATTAGTGCATGTGAAATATTTGTAAAAGTGCCTGGCCTGTAGTCCATACTCAGTGCATGATGCAGTCCTACTCTATATGTTGTTCTGCAGCTCACATTTCATCAGTACACATGGAGGCAATACAATGTAGTGATGAAGACCTTGGGTTCTGAATTCTATTGCCTGGTGCACATCCTAGTTCCACCGTTTACTAGCTTTGTGGTCCCTTAGTTTGTTAGACCCTTTGTCATTGTTTCTGTTTATTAAATGGAGATAATAGCTTCTGTTTCAAATGAAATAGTATGTGTAGACCATTTAGAATGGCTGTTTTAGAATAACTACTTAATAGATGCTTATTATCATTCCATTATTAAAAATTCTTAGTTTAGAATTTAATGTAATAGATGTATTTCTTATAAGTCATCTAACCATTACCTTGTGGGTGGCTGTTCAACTTATTTTTAATTATTCATTGTTATAAAACATGCTGGTTTCCACACTGCAGTTTTTACTTAAAAACTTTAAAATAACCTTGCCTCTTGTCTTCGCTTGGATGAAGAAAACTACTGCTGTGAATATTTCCCACTGTTACTGTCATTTGCATATTGAATAAATACTTTCAAGATCCTCTTTTGTTATGTGAACATCATGACCGCATCATTTTCCGGTTAGTTCGCTTCAGTCCTAGATCATGAGTGGAAAGCAGAACCATTTTGTTTTGTGTGGTTGAAGTAATCTTTCTGAGGTATAACCAAAAGCTGAGAAGCAAAGAAGCCAAAAGGTACTTTTGCTGTGTTTGGAGTGTTGGAAGCTCAGAAGACTGAATCTTGAGGTGTCTTGATATTCAGAAAAGGTAAATCTAAATTCTGACTTGTTTTGTGTTGCATTGTTTGATTTTCTTCCAAAAACCCTTTAAATGTAAATAAGTAGGTTTCTTGGAAATGTTTACAGTAAACACTATAGACCTATACAAGGAAAATGGTGTATTGAATCAAGTCTGCCTTTTCCCTTTGCACCCTTATCAAAGTTGACAGGGCAAATTGAGAGTCTTCAAATTTCATGCAAACCATGCAAAAGACTGAATAAGTGCTTTGGGAAATAAGATGCAAGTCCGAAAGAAAAAAATGGAAGGAAAAAAGGAAGGAAAGGAGAGTAGGAGGGAGGGATGGAGGAGAGGGGTGGGAGGGAGGGAAAGAGAGGGAGAGAGGGAGACAGAAAAAGGAGGGTAAGAAGGAAGGAAGGTAGGTAGGAGAAAGACAAAAGAAAAAAAGCATGGTAGTGAATTTGAGAAAACTATTTGCATTTATTTCTTTCTTTATTTCATTTGAACGGTTTTTGTGTTATGTTACTGTGTAACCATGGCCAGTATGGTTCCAGAAATTTTTCATCTTATAATACTGAAACTCTGTGTCCATTAAATATTAATAATCTTCTATTCCCCAACCCCAGGCAATCTTTTTCTATGTTTTATCCCTATTAATGTCTATTTTAGTTTAGATTATTAAAAAAGTGGCTACATTTACTTATAGTTTACATCTGAAAGTGTTCATGAGTCCAAAGTATGAATACATATGCATTCTTTGTATACATTCTAAGGCATAGTAATTTTTTCAATGTGTGACTCAAATGACATTAATTAATACACAGTTAAATTAAGACCAAGTCCTTGAAACCAAGCTGGATTTTAAGTAGACTATTTGAAGATAGGGAAAGGGCTAGGTATTTTAACTAATAAATTTAAAATAAATAACTTATTACAGATGAATATATATGTGTGTGTATGTGTGTGTGTGTGTGTGTGTGTGGTTTCTCACACATAACTATACTCTTGTATAAGTTTATATTTTTACATAACTACACATAACTATAACTATACTATCACACATAACTATACTCTTGTATAAGTTTATATTTTTTAAAACATTTGCATGTGCATCATATAATATCCTGAGAGTCATCCTGTGAAGAAAGCAGAGTATTATTATCACCATTTAACTAATAGGAAAATTGAGATCTGGTAATGGTAATTTACCTAATATTAAAAAAGGTAATGGCAGAATTGGAACCCAAGTCTCCTTACTCCTGGTCCTGTTCTCTAGCCTTTGAGCAATCACTTGTGTTTCATGTAGAAGATAAATCTTAACTTGACATTTTAATATATGTTGCCTTAATGAGTTCTTTGATAATTTCAGGAATATACTGCAGTCTTCTGTTTAGAAACCTTGCCTAATAAAATGCTTGGAGAAGCCTTCCTAATTGAACTCCTATACAAAGAACAGAAATATACAAAATTATGTAAACCACTCACATATAAGAAGACCTCAAATGCTGAAAAGGAAAC